AACAAATGAACTTAGGTGGGGTAGGGATATTTAGGCCTTTCCGAAATAATGTAAGTTGACCCGAGCAGAAAATGACAACTATGATTTATCTCCTGATTAATAAGTCAATCGCTAATCCGTGAAGGATAATTTAGTTTAAGTTTATTTTTTCCTTTTTTTTTAGTTTTTCCTTATATATTGTTGTATGTATTATTTGGCGTAGTATTGTTAACTAAAATTTGTTCTTTCATATATCAATTGTGAAATTCTATCTTCTTGCTAATCTATTATTACTTATATGTCATTTTTTAGTTTGTTTGCATTAAATTTTTTTCATACCCTCATAAACTTAGTTTGTCTACAATTAATTACAATAAACTAAACTTATTTTCATATTTTAACAACCCATATAATTTTATATGAGATTCGACAGGGACACACATTTATGGACCTCGAAAGGTGCTTAACATCTTTCCTTTGAGGTAATTTAGAACCCTTATCCAATCACTAATTTTTGGTGACATTTTAATTTAATTAAGTATTAATTAGTTTAGAATGGTGATCTAACATGCCTTTAAATAGTTAGGTGATTACTCTTCTCTTTCAAAATTCTAAAAGAGCTGTCACGTCATTGCTTAATCAGTTTTGTGAAAAATGAGGTGTGACGGGTCCAAACCATCATGAGTGACACCCACTTTAATCCTCTTGTGGAGAACCAATTACCAATCTAAATTTTAACTTAAAACTAATTTCTAAAGTCAAGTCATAAGATAACATAGTAGGATCATAGTACAAGAACAACTAAATGATTGAGTTTCCATAAAATCAATAAGAAGTCAAAACAATAATGGAAAAATAACCCCTAGAAATAGAAAGTCGTAGTAATAAAACTTTATTTAGTCAAAATGAAGACGCAATCCCAAGAATAAAGAAAACATGAACTAATAGTCCAACATCTTTGCCTGAAAAGATGGACAAGAAGATGTAGATGAACCTAAAAGATAGACAAGAAGATGTAGAGGAACCAATAGCAACCTGAAAGAGTAGCTCACCTTCGATTCGAAGTCAAGCATCCTTTATCTAAGATCTCGTATCAGTCGTTGGACGATGCTATGTACTTAACAAGAAAAGAGCAAGTACAATATCACTGCATAATCAAAATATACTAGTATGATCACATAACCAGTTCCAAATTAAAAATGTAAACCTATAATCAATAGTAAATACATGTCAACACATATAACAATGATCATGAACACAAGACTCCCAATCATAATATCCTGAATCAGATCATGCATGAAACATGTCTCACGTGATCACAAATGCATATACATGATCCTTATATGGGACCACACAAAGACTGTTAGTGTATCGTCACAATATTTGAGCCAACTAGTGTTAGTAATCATACTAGATATGATATTCGAGTCAACCAACAATCACAAAAACATGCACAATCACGATCACAATGAACAAAAATACTTGAAACCATAAGTGAAGTAAACAACTTCATTGCAAGATATTATTAACACGGTATCATTTCATACGCTTCCCTTTGTATTTCACATCATCCATTGTACAAGTGATACAATAAAGCACTTGACATACATACATATATGAGTTGAAAAATATATGACCATCACCTAAATGAAAATCAAGTCTCTTGAAAACTCTAAAGAACCCTAGATCTCTGCTTGTTCAATATCTTGGATTATTCTTTGGTCTAAAACAATAAACAGCACAACAATCAATGAAAAGTGACCTAATTATTTCTAGATTATAACAAAATTCTATATCTATGCCAATTTTTGATCCTTCTAACAAAACCAGGATTTTTTTCAACACTAAATCAAGTCAAAACCCTCTCCCAAATGTAATATTCTAGATTCTAAAGCTTAAGAATTACCTTACAAGATAAGAGAGTAATGAACTTACATTAATCGATGAATTTGATGGAAAATTGAGTGAAAACTTTCCTAATTCTCTCATCTCAAACCCAAGGATGAGGATGCAGAAAATAGGAGATATTGAGATTTTTTCTACATAAAATTCTAAATTACCACGCTATAGCGGATCATCCCGCCATAACCCCTACACACTCCCACTATAACGATTTATCACCCTCTATAGTGGATTGCATGAACTTTAGACTCATAAATTTCTAAAAGTTCATTTCTTAACATGTCTTCTTCCCTTGACGTCCCAAACCAACCCTTCATGCTAAAATCTAATTCGAAAGATTTACTCACTCAAAATTAATTTTTAGCAGCCCTATGAGTTCCTTAGCGTCTTGGCTAATAGAAATATTATTCAATCCTAGACATTTCATCTCATCTGTTTCTGAATATACATATACTTTACCTAATTTATATTCCATCTAGAACTAGTTTAGCCTAAAAAATTTATGTTGTAACTATCCAAAAAAAAATCTGATCCGATTTCTTTCACCATTGATCTAATAATAACGATCGAGATAAATCATACACTAATACAAAACAACACCTGCAAAACTACCTAATACAGAAAAATAAACAATCAAAACACCTATTTTACATTATTTTTCAATAATTATATCTTCATCATATTATCATTATGTCGTGATTACTCGATTAATTCACACAAATTTTAATAGTATAAAAAATAATTTCACCTATAATAAATGATCTTATTTGACATTTATTTAGCCACATATTATTATTTGTAAAATACTTGTATAAATGTAATATCTCACATATCTAACGTCAAGATAAAATCGAAAATCTCCTCTTTGAACTTTAGTTAATGTTGTGACTTTCGTCCCAGCTGCTCTTTGTTTGGAGCTTTTAAATTCATTGTTTAACTAACATGTTAAGTCCTTCTCACTTAAATTTATCTTTCTATATGAATCACGTGGCATAAAAATATTAAATGAGTTATGAACTTGGTTCATTAATTATCAATTAACTAATTGTCTAAAATAATTAAAACTTCAAGTATATCTCTATGATCTGTTTGGGATCTTGTGAAAATAAATTGAATATATAAATTTAAAAAAAAACACGGTTTAAACCTATTGAAAATATCAAAACACTGATTCAAGATCATCTCGATTGAAAATTGATCACGATCAAATTTAATTTTCTCAAAACTCAAGAACCCAATCAATGATCCAAATTGCTAATTTCGAACACACCAGAGATTTGTACTATCAATCTCTACAAGTTATAATCACATATCAAAACTATGAAAAGATCAAAACAAAAAAACACATCAAATTTATAAAATGACTAGAAGGACCTTTATAGTCATCTACCTCAATATTTATAAAAATAAATTTCACATATTTATGAAGAAAAAGTTGTACTTTCTTCTTGATTTATTTGATGTAATTATTTTAATTATTTAAAATTGTGGTCATGTTGCTGATATCTTAATGATTAATTTATCGTAAAGTTTTTATAATAGTTTTTTTTACGAAATGTCACTTTAAAATGAAACCATATCAATTGAATAAAAAGAGTAGCTATGAAATTGTTAGTACATCATAATTAGCGAAACATTGTCATTCCTCTTGCATCTTTCTTTCTCATTCTCAACGAGAGGAACACAATAATTCTCTAACTTTTAACCAGTCAGAAAATAAATGAAATGAAAAATAACTGACATTGAGATATGAAATTTTCATAAGACAACCATAACAATCGTCAATTCTCTTTCTTGTTTATATGATCACCACTATCATATTTCACTATACAATTTTTATACCATTATTTACATGTAAATCCGTATTAAGGTCAAAAAATTTAACGTCTTACAACTCTTCACTCCAATAGACAATAGCTGAGAATTTTCTTGTGCATAATAATTCACAATTAATGCTAGATTGACGATAAATAATTCAAATATTTCATTTACCTTCTTAATTTATTGTTTATCATTGCAGTAAAAGTCAATCAATGTTAACTTCACAAAACTTGTTATTAGAAAATTTTTGAAGTCGTAGAATTAAAGTATTTCTATTCTGTGACAGTTTGTGATTGACAGAATTATCATTAGTTAAGTCCCTTTAAATTATATAAATACTGTTGTAGATGCCATATCTTCTTCATAACATCGATCTGTTTAAGGTTGTTAGAAAAATAGAAAAAGCACAATAAAAAAGGAATGACTTGAGCATGAAAAAAATTAACTTTCCATAAAGAAATATTGTATGTATACAAATTGAAGAAAATACAAGCAATTCCCTTTAGAATACAATAACATTTTTTGTTATACTTTCAAATTTTTCTTATGCTAAACTTCAAAGATGACATTTTAGAATAATCATACTCTTTCACAAATAAATGTATTTATTCAGTTTTAGATCTTTATATATTACAAATTGTCTAATAAATTATTTATTCTATCAGATGATGAGTGGAGCTCTCACTATTTGTACTAGTGAGGTAACATGCATTAAATTTTTAATACAAATTCAAATTAATTAGAACTAAAAATATGTTATTTGAAATAACAAAAAAAGTAATGCTAGTAGTCTAATTTGGACACAAAATATCTTCTAGGCTTTGACGATATGATTTAGGGTTAAATTAATAAATTCACCCCTGGTGCCGCTGTTTATAGCCAGAACGAAAAATTCCTATTTCTGCTTATATATTTATATAAATGCCATCGCACTAGGTATAACCAGTTTACTGCTTTCTTCACTAGTTAGAGTTCGCCAATTCACTTTTACTATCGAGTGATCTTTGATAAACCCTATAATTTTTTGATACATGTTTGAACATTTATTTTGAACGACGAATAATCGCACCAACACTAAATAGATAATCTCTCAATATAATAATTAAATATATTCAAAATTAAGATAAATTTTTTTAAAGTTAAATATTTAATAATCTAATTCATTTGAGCTTGAAATTTTTAATAAAACATATTTATTTCAAAGAATTGAATTAATTATAATAATTACACAAATGATAAAATTTTAAAAGTATGTCTATAATAGTTTGAGATTAGCCATATAAATACATAATATTTTTATTTTATATTCTACTTAGGTTTTTAAGTGTGCTGGTGCTTCTCACAAGTTAAAAAAAGCATTTTACACCGTCTTCATCAGATCTGGTTCTCTTTTTGATGTATGTATCTCCTTCATCTTCATTTGGTTCTTCGTTTAATCTTTACCTCTTGCTATAATTTACTTCTATGTCTGTACAGGTATGTTTTTGTATTCGAATGAACTGATTTAGGGTTTATTTTAGGTTCTTCGTTTAATCTTACCTCTTGGTCGATTTTTTTTTTGTACATGTATGTTTTCGTTTTAGAGTGAACTGAATTTAGGGTTTCTTTTGGTTCTTCGTTTAATCTTCTTGTCGATTTTGTTTCTTTTTTGTACAGGTATGTTTTCGTATTAGAGTGAACTGAATTTAGGGTTTCTTTTGGTTCTTCATTTAATCTTGCCGCTTGGTCGATTTTTTTTGTACAGGTATGTTTTCGTTAGAGTGAACTGAATTTAGGGTTTCTTTTTTGGGTTCTTTGGACGCCCTTGGCTTAGGGTTGAGCGGCCCTTGGGTTTATGATAACTTTTGTCTGAACTCTATTAATCTTGATGTGCTCGAATTCTGCCCCTCCTCCCACTTTTAGTGAATGATTCAATGCTTATTTGTCAACTATTGTGTTTCTCTCACTGTGCACACTTTTTATGCCCAATTCAAAACTGATGTTGAAGATTGTAATTTCTTACATGATAAATGGAGAATAAATTAGTGTGTAGTTCAAAGGATTAACTAGCTCAAAGTTTGTGTTAGTTTGAGTGGGGAAAAAGAATTCTTTTCAAGTTTTGAAATCGATTTTATTAGCTTATGATGGTGTTGGCTATTTGTGCTCGAATTCAATCTTTATTTGTTAACTTTTGTGTTTATGTCACTGTTGCTATTATTCCCAATTCAAAATTGGTGTTGAGGAGTGTAAATCTTGTAGGATAGATTGAGAATAAATTTGGTTGCATTGATAAGTGAGTGCTGTGTAGTTGTATAGTTCAAAAAAAAAAAGCAAGGTCAAGGTTTATTGAATAATTTGGAATTTGCATTACTGTAATTTTCTTCAAGCTTTGCTTGTTTGTGTATACGTTTCCTTTTCTATTACTGGAAATGTTAACCAAAAACCTTTAGGGCTTGTTTGGTGTGAGGAATTAAAAATGATAGTGATGTGATAAATTTTTTTTATGTTGCTTGGTTACCAGATTTGTGATAACTTATTCCACCATTTATATCATAGTGATGGGATAAGTTGTCCCATATACATGCTGGGATAAGTTATCTTGGGGTAACTTGTTTCCAACCAAACGACCCTTATTGTTTTAATAATCACATCTTTGCAAGACCTAGTTCTGCTTTACTTTCTTTCTTGTTTTAAAAATCATTCTGAACTTGTATTCAGCATATACAAGTGTTAGAGCATTGCACATAAGTGGGTGCATTTGTGGCTTTTTAAGTTTTGACTTTTTCCTTAATTGTTGTCTTTGTTACCTGAATGTGTATTTCATTTATTTTTCGCGTTTCTAATTGTAGTTATTTTGGTGAACTTTGCAGTTTGCACATCAAGAGCAGCTTTCATCTACCAGAAGCATAATTGCATTGATGTGTTGTGGAAAACTTTCTTACTCCTGAGTTGATATGGGTTTTGATATTGAATGCATAATTGACATCCATACCTATCCTGGAGAGTATTTCTGTCCTGTTTGTCGCACACTCATATTTCCTAATGAAGCCGTCCAATCACAGTGCACCCATCTCTACTGCAAACCTTGTCTGGCACATGTTGCCAATGGGAGCCGAGCCTGTCCTTATGATGGATACTTGGTGACTGAAGCAGACTCTAAAGTGAGCTCCCTGTAGTAAATTATCCTTTAGATAACTGCTGATGCTTTTGCTACTCATGATATTTTGAATGTTGCATTTACTTATCCTCCCAGGCCCTTATCGAGTCGGACAAGAAACTTGCTGAAAGCATAGGCAGAGTTAAAGTGCGTTGTCTCTATCACAGAAGTGGATGCACATGGGAAGGTTCCTTCTCTGATTGCACTTCCCATTGTTCTGGCTGTTCCTTTGGCGACTCCCCAGTTGTATGCAATAGATGTGGAGTCCAGATTGTGCATCGACAAGTGCATGAGCATGCCCTGAGTTGCCCTGTGAGTACTTTTCATACGTATGCAATACTCATCTTTTTTGTTGTGGATGGTTTCTTAGTATATGTTCTATCCAGGGTGTATATCCTGCACAACAGGCAACTCATGGTGCCGAGGATAATCCTAGCTCTGGTGCAGCCACCACTGCTGCTGGTACCGACTTGAATAAAACTAAGGCTCATTCAGGAACTCCGGCATCACAGACACCAAACCCTCAAACCACAACTGCTTCTCTGCTTCCTGGACAAGATCCCAATCAGCAAACAAGTGCCAGCTCTCAGGCTCTTGCTACTGCTTCAGCTGGTGTGCCTACTTCAGAGCAGTGGTATCAGCAACAGTATCAGCAGTATTATCAGCAATATGCTGGATATGAGCCTTATCAACAACAAACTTATCAACAATACTATCCTTATCAGCAACAGTCCCTCCAACAATATCAGCAACAACCTCACATTTACATGCAGCCACCAGCACAACCCCAGACCCCGGCCCCAGCCCAGCCGCAGCCCCAGCCGCAGCCACTTAATCCTCAATCTCATACTCAAATGCAAGCTCTACCTAAAGGGCCAACTCAACCACAGGTTCAACCTCTGGCACAACAGCATCAAAATCAGGTTCAAGTCAACCCAGTACAGCAGCTCCCACCTACTATGCAACCTCATGCCCAAATTCCATCACAAATATATCCAGCTTCTCGTGCTCATCCACCTACTCAGCCTCCGCCATATTCACAGACCTATTCAATGCAGCCTCATTCACAACAATATGTGCAAGTGCCACAGTATCAGCAGCCTCCTGCCCAGGTTCATCCCCCTCCATCCTCTCAAGCCCAACCACATCCTCCTGTGCAAGCACAACCTCATTCACAACTCCAGCCGCAAATAAATGTGCAACATCATCCACAATCTCATGGCCAATTGCGCCCTCCTCAGGTCGGCCAGCCTGCTCATGCACAGGGTCAGACCCTCCCTTCAACAGCCAATGCAGTTTCAGGTTTCCATTCCTATCCACAAACCCAGCTTACGCAGCAAGTGGCTATAGGGATGTCACAGCAACCTCCAATGTACCCGCATCCTACTAGTGGGTCTATGAGTCTGGTTCAAACTCATGGTCAGGTTCCTCAACCTCCCTTAATGCGCCCACCTCTGGGTCTAATCGGCAATCAGCAACCGGGGCTGGTACCTTCTCAAGGTCAAGTTCCTGCACAATCTCAACTTTATCCTATTGCTCAGCAAGCAGGACACTCAATTCAGCAACATCCTGGTCAGTCTAATCAACAGCCAATGTCTCAACAGTACAGTCATCATCATACATTTCCTGGTCCATTTCCAAGCCAATCTCACCAGCAAGGTCATTTTACTCACCAGCAGCCGTTGCAGTCCCAATTTCGCCCACAAGGTCTTCCTAATGTGGTGCCTCAAAGTTTGCATGGGTATATTCAACCGCAGCAAAATGCCACCTTACCACCTCCTCCACAGCCTCAACAATCTCAAGCATATATAGGAAGGCCTGGGATGCAAAATCATGTCCAGTCGATTTCACAGGCTCATGGTGGATATAATACTACAGCCCAGGTTAGACCTGTCCAGCCTGCTTTAAGCCAGCCGCAAATAAATCCAAGTTATGGGAACTACACGGGCAATGAGCATGAGTTGGTGGATCAGAAGAAACGGTTAGCCCTAGAAAGTAAAGGTGATCTGTTACCTGACAAAACTGCTGGAAGGAAAGAAGCGGGAGTTCCTTCCCAGGACAATGCTCAAAAGGATCTAAATTCTCTTCCAGCCAAATCAATTGATGATGAGTACAGACAGAGGGCCAGCAGTGATATAGATGTCCGTAGGGGTGATTCAGATGAGCTTATGGACAAAAGAACTGTCAAGAAAGAGGAAGATGACACTTTTTTGAAGCCTAAATCTGCTGCCAAATCAGCTGATGCAACAGTTAAACCAGACAAAGATGCCTGTGATGATGTTCCAAAAGAACTGGACCAGACTCTGGAAAAGCATGGATCTTCTGATGCTACCGATGGTTCGATTAAGAATCTGAACTCTGGAAGAGATTCACATGACGCTACCACTGACGGAGGGGTTTTTCAGCAGTATGGGCATGGGATGCCACAACCGAAATATGGACCGTCTACTCAGCAAAGGCCCGTTGGTCCTATGATAATATCACCAGTGCGACCTGCAGGCAGTACTTCTCATGGCCAACTCCCTGGATATCCCCCCACTGCAATGATGCCTTCAGGGAATGTACCTCAGGCTGGTCAGCCATTGAATTCTCTTGATCATCGTCCACAATTCTTGAAGCAGCCTAGTAGTGCCCCCCTTGGTGGTATCCCTGGTCCAGGGTCTATTACAACCTTTGCTAGGGGGCATGGTCATTTTCCTCCACCAGGTGAGTTCCCAGAGGGGATTACGGGAGTAGGAAGAGCACTGTTAAGTGGTGCTGAAATTCCTAGTGGAACACAACACTCTGTTAATCCAGCAGAGGCTGAAATGTTTCAAAACCAAAGGGTGAATTGTTTTGAAGGAAATCAATCAAACCCATTTTCCTCAGGGTCTTTTGAGAAGGTTCCATTTGGCCAACCTAGAAGTATGGAATCTGCTAGGGATAAAAGGTTGAAGGCGCCTATGGGGGAGCATTTAATTCCTTTACCGGTGCCTTCTGATCAAGGTGAGTTGGACTTTAGTATTCAATTATTTCCTTAAATAATTTGCCAAGAAGAGTTAAAATACATGTCCTAATTAGTTACACTAAATAATGAGCTTTGTTGTTGCAGGATCACGGCCACATGACAAACCTCCTCACGGATTAGGATATGATTCTGGATCAAAATTTGAGGCCAGTACCGGGGTTCCACCGAACAGATTATTGCCTCCACATCATCCTCCTGGTTCGATGCATTTCAAGGATAGTGGAGAAAGAGAAGCACCACTTGGTCCTCATGACGATGATAGAAAAAGAGGAGGATCTGGATTCGGTGTGCATCATTTGGATTATTTGTCTGCCAGAAACCCTGATGGGGAGTTATTTAACATTCCACAACGTGGATTTGTAAGTCACTCAGGTTTTGATGATACTGGTGGCAGAGAGCCCCGTCAATTTATTGAAGGGCCAGGACATTTCAATTTACCTTCCAATCTAGCTGGCGGCTTATACTCTAATAGTAGGTTCCAAGCTTTGCCTGGCCATCCACATGGAGTAGAGACTGATGGTCTTGGGGATTTGAGAGGTGGTGAGCATACTACCTTTGGTCGTCCTTACAAACATGTCCAGAGTGGTGATCTGTTTGGAAAAGACATGCCGAGTCATTTGCATCATGATGAGTCTTTGGATCCTCCGAAATTACCAAGTCATTTACGTTTTGATAAACCTGGTGGCTTTGGTTCCTTCGCTGGCCGTGCTTATATGGGGGAGTTGTCTGGGTTTGGAGATATTCCTGGTTTTGATGAATCAGTTGGACGCAACAAACCTGGTATGCCACAGTTTGGGGAGCCTGGCTTCAGGAGCAGGTATCCTGTTCCGGGGTATCCGAATCACGGACTTTATGCAGTAAGTTTTGCCTTATGAACCCTGTAATCATCTTGTTCATTTTCCTTTTTGATGTGTTATTTCTTGGAAATAGAGCTTTATAGCATTTTTATAACGTGATTGACATAATGTGCATAAAATTAGCATATCCTCTTATTAATTTTTTTTGAACTCCCAACTTCTCAGGGTGATGTGGACTCCTTTGATAGACCAAGAAAGAGGAAGCCCACGAGTATGGGATGGTGCCGCATTTGCAAGGTTGATTGTGAAACCGTTGAGGGCCTAGATATGCATTCACAGACAAGAGAGCACCAGGATATGGCTATGGATATGGTCAGGTCTATCAAGGAGCAAAACCGAATGAAACAGAAGTGAGTGTTCGATAGATTTTGTAACACCAACAAATTCGGCAGCATAAAATCTAATTCCTTTTGCCACCATTTTGTAGGACTTTTAGTGATCGTCCTTCAGTTGAAGAGAAAGGGAGGACTAGAAAGGCAGTGTTCGAGAGCCGTGGTAGAAAGACTTGAGCTTGGGATAGTAGATAGGAAGTGAAAGGCTGTGTTTGATGGTTGTAACTAAGCCTTCAGTCAAGCATTTGCACCGCAATGTAGGTGATTAGCTTTACAATCTTTCTTCTTCTTCTGGGGGTTTTATCCTAGCTTTGTCATTTCAGGTTGCCGCCCTGTTGTTGGAAGATGGTTTGGATTGGAAGTTTCTGTGGCAGTTAAGTTGTTTTGCCCATGGTTTTGAAAACTTATTTTTCCTGTATTAGGACAATTATGTCAACTTAGTCCTAGTGGATCTGTAGCTATATTCTGCACTTTCTTGCTTATGCAACCTAGTTCAGGAAAAGTCTCCTGCTAATTATATGTTGCTATGCATTAGTTTCAGTTCTTATGCGAGAGTTCCTTTATATGTATGCTCTGATCTTACCTCTGTCTTCGAGTGCTCGTTCATCCTTCGGGAATGAAATAGTAACTAATTGTGATGCTTCATTGGATATGGAGATAGTGAAGGCCTGATCCTTACATAATAATGAGAATCATATCAAATCATACCTTCTTTTGTTATTCCTTAATTTTTGTTGGTCAACAGAAGAAAACTTCTCCATAAAGAATTGGTATAGAAGTTCTTCTGTCTGCTTCCTAGACAAAACACTACATTCTCTTTTGAAAAAAGAAAAAAAAAGCAAAACTGTATGTGAAGATCAGTTTGGCCCTGACAGTGCACAGTTTGCTGTGCAGCATCTTAAGTAAAAAGGGCATTGCCGCACTGGAATGTGCACTTCATTTTTCTTAACTAAATATACACTTTGCGTAAGAGGGATTCTTATGGCCACTTTTGGGCTGCAGTGATACATAAAGCAGAGATGCACACAGTTACCCAGAAAGAGAAGAATTGCTGAGACAGAGACAGAACCTGTGATCCATGAACGTACTATACAGTTAGCAACTGGCGTTAAAATATAATTCCGCTTTACAATTTACCATTCTAGTTTTTAAAATATTTACAGAACTTGTAGGTACTAGAGAAGTCTAAATTACATTAAAAAATTTGAATGGAACTGGTTCTAGTGGAACTAAATCATAGTGATGGTCCATATAGCTGACCTCAGCTGGCTTGGGATTGAGGCGTAGCACTTGGTGAGACATCCTTTTCATTGCTTGGAGATGCTTTTCTGGTCTTAACATTGAAGTTCAGTTAGGGCGTCTTGTTTTTTGTTTTTCGTTTTTCGTTTTTCTATGGTGTCTCCATGTTTACTAAAATTGACCGGTGTACGAACTGCGGAGTTATGTACCATAGCAACCATTAGATTGGTATATCAATACAACTGTACAACAATTATTATGAAAATTTATAATTGGTGGCTCTCGGCTAACAGACTATCAATATTAGATTGCTGTTTTTCTTGATTGAAGGGAAGGGGTTTGTATTATTTATGGCCAACCAAAAAAGGGACTATGAAAAGACACATTTATACTAATAAGACTGAAATTTCCTAGTTCGGATGACATGTAAATGGGGTTTGGTCAGAGGAGATCTGTTAGTGAAGATAATTGAAGCTTGTTCGTCATAATACATAATCCTTTGAACTGTGAACATAAAACGCATAACTTCTGTTTTGGGGGATGGGAGAAGCTTCTCCTGGCAAATTGTCTTCTGCCACACAGCAGTAAAATTTGTTTTTACCATAGGGCTCTTTTGTTGTGCATCTCTTTTCATACTTGCTGCAGTTTTATTTTGTGATGTTCTCTCATGCCTCGACGATGCATCATAATTTTCATGGTTCTTTACTCGTTAATATTGGAATTCCTGATTCCCTCTGGCCTAGGTTTGTTGAGCTAATTTGTCTATTGCACAAGGTTATTTCACCAAGCTAGGTTGCTAATGTTCCGAACTCTCCATTCTTGGGACTGGTTACCTGACAGATGTAGCTTAGTTGTAAAGATGAGGTTTTAGTGATGGAAAATATTCTTGAAGTTGATCTTCTATTATGATATTGAACCTCTTTTTGAGAAACGTTTATGAAGTTCTCTGGTCATCATAGTTTGAATACTTTGCAGGATGTTGACCATGTGTTTAGGTTATTCTTTATTAAGACTTTGATTCGTTCTATATCATCAAAGTGGAATTTACCCATAAGACCATACAGATTGCTGAAACAAAATTGGACATACAATGTCAGTGTACTAACATAAAGGAAAGCCAGCGAACAGAAAGTAATAAAGACCGGTCTATGACAGTCCATACTATAACAAAATTGATGGACAAACAATTCAACATAATTATAATTAACATAAAATAAAAACAGGGTACCAAAAAGAGGCTATAATCCTTCACTGCAACACTAGTGTAAAGAACTGTGAACAAAAAGGAACCTGGATCTTTTGGAGACATGGATTTTCACTTATTTGATAATCTCAGTTGTTGTCTATGATGGAGGTTGATGTTGATATGGAGAGTTGGGGACCACGATTAAGATTCCTGAATATATGATTAAGAGGTTATTAAAAATTGGTTTCTGTTGCAGCTTTTTTGTTAAGTTTGTATGAGCCTTGTTATTTTATTTTTTGATCAAAAGGGGTGTATGAGCCATTTTTGATAAATAAGAAGTGTTCCCAAATTGTTGTTGTTAATGATGCCTGTAGTTATGACAACAATTGCTTAACATAGGTTAAACCATGGAGCTTCATAAACTTTAGGCCCAGAGACATGATGCGGAGTTTATAGATTGAGGTGCTTTCTTAGTATGTGTTACAGGAGAATAGCAAGGGTACATCTAACCATTTAAAAGGACGAGGGAGTCTTTTGTATTGTTTTTATCTGACTAGGAACTTGTATGTATGAGCTTTTAGTCAGGTTATGTAATTCAGTTCTTTGCCTTGGAAGACATGCATGTGCTGCTTTAGAAGTGTTTTTGTTAATACTGTGTTATGCAGAAAGCCAGAAACTGGGATATCTGACAAGCCAAAACATTAATGAATTTTGCATATACTAACTTGCTTTCTTTCCTTGCTCAATTTGGGGGGAAGCCTAGGTGAATGTTAAAGTAATAAAAATGGCGAACTGCAGTTGCTGTACAGCATATTATGTAGTAAACATGCAAAATAAGCAATGGTAGTTCATATTGCTAAAAAATAGTTTAGCAATGTTGCAAGCAGGAACTCCATTTCCACATGGGAAAATTAGTCTAGCTAAGTGCAGTACCACTATATTCTGCTGGATAATGTTGACAGGAAGAACCTAATGTAAGATCTTCTCAATTGCACGACGAAGCATCTAGACCCTGAGGATCACCTTTGTCATTAGTTAGGTATAAGTTTTTCCATTGCTAGTTGATATTACTTATGTGTTCAAGTTGAACCTATTGAATGATGAGGTTCTTCTGTTACCAGGAGTGGTTACACATTTCAACTTCCATTGCAGGCTGTTTATGGAAGTACAACCATCAGGAAGAATGTCGTAGTATTTGTTTGTAAAATATAAGGGTGATCTTCAATGTAGCAGTGTCTTTTATTGTTTCTACCTTTGTTCTATGATAAACAAACTCTTTGATCTTTCCCTTCATTTTGATATTAGAGCTGGAAGAGTAAATACTGCTCTAAGTTAATTTTACCCTGTAAAGGCTGTTGGGGATGTATTAGTTACAGCAAATGTGAAGATATGTACATTTTTCAAGTTTAAAGCAAATGATTTGTAAATATAGGCAGTGGCTTTTTTTTTCTTCTCATTTATTGATAAATAAGTGTTTCTATCTCTTTTATTTTCATTTTGGTGTTTAGAGAGGTAAAGTATAGACAAACTCGTAAGTTAATTTTACCTGTAAATGCTGTTTATTAATTGTTGGGTGAAGAAAAATAGGGTTCCAATGTTTTATTCCAACCCAATGGTGAGTTTGTTTTAAAGGGAAGTATTTTTGATATAATAATATTCTTTTTGTAATATATGTCTTTTGGTTGTAACAAAATCAGTTGTAAAAGAATCCTTTTTGTAGTGAGTGCGTTTAGGCCGAAAAATGTATTTTGAGTAGATTTATTATTCTTCTCAAATTTAAAGAAAATGATTTTGTTTCATGATATAAGGAAAATATTTTTCAAGAATCTCCTCGGATCTGTCGTCTATTCAGTTCTCAATCTGGATTTGGGTTAAGGGTCGAGATTTGGTTCAGTGTCGAGCTTGTGAGTTGTCTTGAGTTGGAATTGAAAGTCGGGATTGACGTTTGGTTTTGGTGTCTTTGCTTCAGGCTTGGAAGTTTGGAAGTCAGGTTGAAGTTGGACCCAAACCATAGGTCTCGGTCAAGGCTGAGAGATGAGCATGGAGTCGGGGGTACATAATAGAGTTTTGTGTTTGGTCGAGATTTTGGGTTTGATTTGGTGTCATACTATGTGTTCAGATTATATCGATATTGGGATATTACTTTTTATTAACTAACCAAATGCCTGAACAAGTAAAAAAGTCACTTATTTTTCAAAAAAATGTTTTCTAGAAAAAATATTGTGGAAATATTTTCTTTTGTACCGAACAAAAGGAAAAATATATGAAGTTATTTATCTATTAGTTTTTGCCAAAGAATGGGTATTAAAATAAAAATGTTAAATGAGACTAGAATATGTAAATTCTAGACAAAGGTGTCCATGCTAGCACAGGCTTGACACATAAATGTTTAGTATACGAGTAAGATTATAAAGTACTAGTGTATAATTTGATATTGATATTGTTTGAGTGACTTGATTGATGAGTGTGAGTTATAACGTTTGAAGCATAATTATAGTAAGTTATATACGAAGAAAATCATAAATATATTTAATCAATTTAGAAAGTTAAGAATTTATCAACTTTCTAAGTTAGTTATGTATATTTTTTTTACATGATAAAGAACATGTTTGAAGGTTAGCTAAGGTGTATTCTTGATTGTTCTATTAAAACCTGTTGCATAAGGCGCAAAAGATGATGTATTTGCATTCATACATTTGGAAGAAGGTATGCAACTTGCAAGGAAATCAGATAACACAAAAAATAAAATATTCAACAAAAGTAGTCAAGGAAACATATTTTAAAAGAGAATTGTGCAAACGTAGCAGAAAGAATTTGTTCTATAGTAGAATGAAATAAGAAGGATAATAAAAGCGTATATAAAAATACAGAGCTTTGGGCAATACCTCCCAACAAGATTGATCCATTTGGATCTTGGTCCATGATGGTCTTTTTTTATTGATTTTGATGATTGGATCTTCCTATGGATAAATGAAAAATACGTCATAACAATTTAGATAGCAAAAAAAATAAAAGGAAAATTTTCAAAATGTTCATATTTTAGCATTTAATAGGATCCCTTAGCCACACTTTCAATACTTATTAAAAATATCAATATTTTAATTTATTATATTGCTGATTTATGTATTTTTTAATTTAACTTACAGAGAAGGGTAAAAAATACCCTTGAACTAGAAATGGATCGAATATATCCTCCATTTGATTTTGGAGTCCAAAATACCTTAACGTTAGTGTATTGACTCACTTTTATTCCTCGAACCCAACAAATGTAATGTTACCTTAAAAATCACATAAAACTATGTTTTTTTGCTAACTTAAAAATTCAAATGGACAAAAAAAATCTAAAAAATTTATTTCATTCCCTTGTCCCATCTTCCTCGACTAGTGATGGACACGAGGAAGATAACTAAAACATTTTTGATACAAATATATTATAAGTATTATATGTGAATTTTAAACATTTTGATACTATTTAAATTAGTTTACATTGTTAGAAATGTATTATATTTAAATTGAAATAATAACTATCGAATTTATAAAAACGTATAATATCGAATTCAAATTCTCTTAAGACTATCATTATATTTATACAATTGTAATACAACTTTAGTATAAATTTTCCGAGCTTCACCTCTTCTTTTTTTGTAATCACCATCACCAGACCATGGAATGCTTATATTTAATTGATACAACTTTAATATAATTTTAAGAACTTCACCTAATATACAATTTTACTCAACTTTAATACAGATTTATATCAAATATTATTAAAACTAAATTATGCCATATACTGTAATAAAAATAAAGTAACACTTAAAAGCGTGATTAATCAAATAAAATATATTGTATATGTAAAATTTCTTCTTTATATCAATTTATGGGATAGAAAATGGAAATTAAAAGGTCAATCAAAATTTAATATGTTCCTTTAATAAATAATTTAACTTATTATTTTATTGTGATTTATAGTATTATTTAACGTCATTGTAAAATAATATATGTTATTTCTTTTTTTTTTCAATTTATGTTGTACAAATTAAATTAGGAGAGTCAACCAAATTAGTATATGAATTTCAATATATTTTTAATTGTTAAGTATTGTGAATTTTAGTATTTTTATGTAACGGAAAAGGGTCTAAAATACCCTCAAAGTATTGAAAATGATACGAAATTATCCTCCATCCACCTATCGGCTCTAAATACCCTTCCCATCCACCTATTGGGTTCAAAATACCCTTGTCATCCACATTTTGGTTCAGAATTTACCACTTATTTAATGGTTTTATATTTAAACTATTTAAATATTATTTTAAATACGTGGTGCTCAACTATTTGTTATAATTGAACTTATTAATATAATTTATAAATCAATCAAATACTCACTCATTACTAATTAAACCCCTCTAAATTAATAAACGGAAAAGGGCCTAAAATACCCTCGAAGTATTGAAAATGGTACACAATTACCCCCATCCACCTATTGGCCCCAAAATACCCTTCACATCCACCTTTGGGTCCAAATTTACCTCTTCATTAACGGATCAAAATTAAAAATAATTAAATAATAATTTTTAATTACGTGGCACTCAACCATTGGATGTAATTTAATTATTTAAAATAATTTTAAACCCACCCATTTTAACTAAACCCGCCCCAATTTAAAAAAAATAACCCATCTAATTAAAATATCCTAAAACCTTATTCCTCCCATTTTCACAATTTCCATGACTCCATTGTCTTCTTCTTCTTCTTCTTCTTCATGAAGAAAATATCAACTTCTTCTTCGATTTCTTCACCTGAAGAACTTCAATCTCGTACATGTAAGTTCAATCGGAGTACATCAATAATAATAGTGAAATGGTGGACCGACAACATGATACATATATAGCTACTCCTATTACTTTAGCCAAGAGGAGCAGGAACGTTTAGAAAGATTTCACATTTCACAATTTATTCTGGATCATTACACTTGATCATAATTAGTAATTAGTAATCATCCAATAACAATACAAAACATTCCTTCTGATATATGGCAAGTAATGGATTCTATCTCCATGGACAAGGCCAAACCATCATAGTCGATCTGAAGCGATTTGGGATTGAGAGGTAGTTGATTGATTAATTAATATTTCGATTGAGAAAGTACCACTGCTACTAATTGAATATACATTATTATATGAATTTGAATTCTTGAAACTTATGAAAGTTATTTTAATGGGTCAAATATTCTTGGTTGTTTTGTAAAATAGATTGGATGGACCAAAAGAAAAGGTAAGAAATTTCAAATGATAATTATACTTGGAGTATGTATGTAGTTTAGCACAAAAGGCATACCTTCTTCACGGGAAGAAATCGAAGAAGAAGCTGACATTTTCTTCATGAAGAAGAAGAAGACAATGGAGTCATGGAAATTGTGAAAATGGGAGGAATAAGGTTTTATGATATTTTAATTAGATGGGTTATTTTTTTAAATTGGGGCGGATTTAGTTAAAATAGGTGGGTAATGGGTGGGTTTAAAATTATTTTAAATAATTAAATTACAACCAATGGTTGAGTGCCACTTAATTAATTTTTTTTAAAATTATTTTTAATTTTTATCCGTTAATGAAGAGGTAAATTTGGACCCAAAGGTGGATGTGAAGGGTATTTGGGGGCCAATAGGTGGATGTGGGGTAATTGTGTACCATTTTCAATAGTTCGAGGGTATTTTAGGTCCTTTTCCAATTAATAAATCCATTACATTATAAATGCAACAACAAAAAAACTACTGCCAATTGAGTGTTTTCAAAAATTTGAGGCGAAAAATATCTATAGAAGTAAATTATCATATATTCAAGTGTCTAAATAAAAATTATTGATAAACTTAAAAGTCTGACTATGTTCATCTTAATTATTCTTTCGTCTCAATCATGTGATGTTACTTCATATGTAACTTCTTTTCAAAATAATATATTAAAGATTTTAAAACAAATCATAAATATTTATAAAATTATATTTTAAAAAAGTGCATGAATTAATTCAGGATGTACTACTTCTTTGCCTTTAATCATAAATTTCTAATTCAATCTTGAAAGAGAATCCTATTGAAAGTGTCCTCCTAAATAAGAGGCTCAACCTAAATTTAATTGGGGCTTCGATTCGGACTCGAATAATTTGAATGTCATTTTCAGGAATCTATAATTTCATCGTGCTTTAGTAGTGTTTATGATGATTTTGATATTATAATTGGATTATTAATTGAGTGGGGTTTAGTAAGTAATGAATGGGTAGTGGATTGATTTATAAATTATATTAATAAATTAAATTATAATCAATAATTGAACGCCAAACATTTTAAAAAATATTTAAAGAGTTTAATTTTAAAATAATTAAAGAAGTGGTCAATTTTGGAGCCAATAGGTAGAAGAAAAGGGCATTTTGGAGCCAATA